TTATATATAAGTTTTTTATTTTCTGCATGGACCGATTGCATGAAACCTCTACACTTAGACTAGTTCTATACTTGTTCTACTATGTGTTGGTTGTTTCTCTTTACTTATTTTTTTAATAATACTCTCTCATGTCGTGTTTGAATACTGTTAAAATGATTGACTGTGGATGTAGGTCCTTGAAACTCAAATTCACATATTACTAGCCGATGGTTATTTTAGAAACTTAAGGGATAAGATGTAACAAATAGGTTGTGATGAAACGATTGGAAATAAGTGAGTTAAAAGTGAGGGAATGGGGATTTGTTAAGTGTATTGTGTTGTATTTGAGGGCAAACACATGATAAGTGTGGGGAGTTTGATAAGGCTTGAAAATAACATCATTATTATCCACTTTAGGTTATTGAATTTGATGGTACGTCATTTAATCCAAACTATTTTTTATGTTTTATTGTAGTGTGGGATACAAGGGCAAAAACAAAGAAAAACAGCATGAAGAGAGGAAGAATTCGTGTAAATGGATCATGAGCACATAAGCAAGCCTTGGGCAAGGCTTAGGTCCCGTCCCAGGTAGCCTAGACTTGAGCAACACCAAGAACTATGTATAGCAGTCAATTCAAAAACAAAAAGCACACGCTTGAAATTTGAAAACATATCTCGTTCAGGCCCAAATTTACGGACATAAAATCATAGAGATCAATTTGGAAAGGTAAAGATGTGCAAAAAAATCAGGAGAAGATTGCAGATTGGAATAGAAAAAAGAAAACCCTAACTTTTCTTCTATAAAAGAGGGGGCGACTGTCAAAGCAGGGGCATCTCTTTTTCCCAACGCCATAAACAGTAGCCTTTGCTGCTTCCGCAAGTTTTCCTCCTTATTTTTCTTCTTCTCTTTACTCTCCAATGACTTTTTTTTATTGAAAAGTCCACCATGAGTGGTTAACTTACTTTCTTTTCCTAGTTGATAGATCTAACAAACTTCAGCAATGTATTTGTGAGATCTAATCAAATTAATTTAGATTTTATTTTAGAGCTGATATTTATTTACTTCCTACACCTATATATATTTTTTATTTTGAATTTGTTTGAACAAGGGCCATCATACGAGAAGAGAAACTACAAACAGCTAATAAAACTCCTCAAATTTGTAATTCTTTTAGTAGTTTTGGTACTAAGTAACGATCAATGTCACACTGAGAAGGTAAGTAATCTAGCTGAACGGTTCACTCGATGAATCTGACAGCTTGAATCAGGTTCTTTTAGCTCTCAAGGTCGTTGACAAGTTAAATCATATGGATATTTTCAAGACTATTTGGCAGCAAAGAACGAACTAACGAACATTTCTTAGTTAGTTTAAGAATAAAGGAAGATTGATTGTCAGAACTTTCCGACAACTATAACAGATTTGTCATATTTTGGGTAAAACGAATTTTTACATTTATGATCAATTACGATACTGAAGTTAGTTATTTTGTCAATTAGGAATCATTTTTATAATTGTTTTATCTATTTACATCCAAGAGTTTGTCTAATATTATAATGTTCGTTGTTTATTTTATATTTTGTGCATTGAATTCTATAAAACCCTCCTTGTTTGCTTTTTATTCGTTGTTCAAAGAAAAAAATTAGTTTTCAATTTCCTATAGATTTGACCCTTCTTACCACTACTACAATATTATTTTATAAGTTAATTAGGAATTTATTTTTGATAAATTCAACACCCATCATTTATCTTTAAATAAATTTAGTTTAATTTCTAATTTCAAATTCACTTGGAGTCAAATTTTTATAATAAAACTGAATTAAAGTTATTGAACAAATTAGCGTTCATCGCTTATTATTTATTTTTATTATAACTTGAAATATATATGTGATTCCTTTTATAACATTTCATAATTTTTTTCATTGATCCATGTAAAATTATTAAAGTTTAAAATATCATCTTACAATTTCTTTTGACCTTTAAGTAGATTTGGTTTGCGAAATTTTAAATTTTTACATATTTCTACTCTTGAGCAGAAATTTATAAATTTGGCAATATTTGCACACTAGTAATAATATAATCAACATTCTAACTATAAAAAAATAAGATAATTAAACTTCTTATATATATAATATACAATTCGATTCAAATTTATAATATCTTTAAAAATAATAAAAATAAATAACTCAAAATCATAAATTAATAGAGAATAGTAGAAATATTAAATATTAAATTAGTTAATTATTCCTATTTAGAGTCAAATACATACAAATACTCTCTAAAAAAAACTAATCACAATAGCATATTATTATATTAAAAAAAATAAATAAATCACATGGGTTTATTATTATGAAAGAAAATCCCAGTGTTTTAAATTATAATAAATGAAAGACCAGCTGCCCAATTATTTTTTACATATATATATATACATATATTATTAAAAGGCATATTTTGAACAACAATGCAGTACGTATTGATTCAGCCAGCAAAATTTAATCGTAAAAAATAATAAGGGGAGAAATACCGTTGGGATAAATGGTATTCAACTGCTTGTAAGTTAGTTGAGTATTCATATTTCAACACGAAGAATATCTAACAGTCAACTCCTACCAGCCTTCTCCCTCTCTCTCTCTCTCTTTCTATATATATATATATATATATAATATATTTATATTAATTAAAAACAAATAAAATAATTGACAAATATATATATACATAAAGATGAAATGTAATCTCTTTGAGAGTGGTTTTGTTTTTATATCCTTAAATCAACCAGACCCTACAACCCGTCTTCTCTCTCTCTCTCTCTCTCTCTACCATGGCTGGCCCCTTAAATTAAAGCAATCCATTTCATATCCGAAGAGAAAAGAAAAAACTTATTGGCCATGGGCGTCGACATGTCTAACCCTCCAAATTCTCACACCAAAGATTTCTTTGCTTCTCCTGCTCTCTCTCTAAGTCTTGTAAGCACACTTCATTTTTCATTCATACAACTCCATATGCATATATGTGTACATGTATATATATCTTTTACTACCGATTTTTTTTTTGTATAACTTCATATATTCATTAATTAGTTTGTATATAAGCCAATACATGAACTAATCATAAGACAATAGAACATAATCTCCATTTTTCAGTACTGATATTTATTAATCGTCTACTTACATGTGCTTTGTGTGATTGCGTTTTGCAAAATTAGGCGGGGATATTCCGGGATGGGGGTGCAGGGGCAGCGGCAGCAGCAGCCGGGAGCATGGAGGTGGAGGAAGGAGATGAAGGGAGTGGAGGAGGAGGAAGAAGGGATGAATATCAGAGGGCTGAAATCAGCAGTGAGAATTCGGGACCCACGAGATCCAGATCAGAGGATGATTTTGACAGAGAAGACCATAATGAAGGTGATGAAGATCATGGAGACGACAAGAACAAGAAGAAGAAAAGAAAGAAGTACCATCGCCATACTGCTGAGCAAATCAGAGAAATGGAAGCGTATATCCCTCTCTCCTTCTCTCTTTCACTATATATATATTGACGTACATTAACCCTAAAGATACTATACAAGTACATATATTTATTCATATAATAAACAAGAAAAATTCACTCCAAAATATATTCATATAAATCAATTATAATGATATTGATCTTGCCCAATTCAAGGTAGGTGACGAACAATAAAGAGCCGAGTACTTTGTTAGGTATAAAATAGTAATGAGTAAGAGCAGTACTCATGAGATATTTGGTTGGGTTATTAGTTCAGTGTTAATTGTTGGGAGCATGACAATGTATATATACATATATATCCGTCTCTACATGTATATTTATAAAGCATTTGTAGGATTTGGAAGATTCTTCATGTACAGAATGTACGATATGTATTGTACAGTTAATTAAGGAGGATACACATACGTACATATATATATATATACATCTTTATTTATCATGAATACGTATAACATAGGATCTTTTTGCACCCGTAAACATGTGGTTTAAAAAGTTGGTGACAGATTTACAGAAGAAAACAAGATCGTAAAGTTAAAGATGAGTCAGAATTTTTTTGTGTGATAACTTTAATAGCCCCTTCTTTTCACTTAGGTTTTGTTGCATATTACATATACCATACATCATGTGATGGTGAAATATTATTCTCTCTCTCTCTATATATATATATATGTTGAAAGCTATATCACAAATTCACCAAAAATTAATTAAAATTAAATGTTGCATGCATGACTGTATATGAGCAGGTTGTTTAAGGAGTCACCTCATCCAGATGAGAAGCAAAGGCAACAACTAAGCAAGCAATTAGGTCTTGCTCCAAGGCAAGTCAAGTTCTGGTTCCAAAATCGTAGAACCCAGATCAAGGTATTTACAGATGTACATATATATATATATGAATATAAAAACATATATATATGTTAATTCTTTCAATATCTACGAATCACTACTTAGTTTAATGGTTCTTACATGTTTACGTCGTTTTTCATAAAAAACAATTTATAGAAAATTATAGATTAAAATCAGTCTATACTTTTATATACTTATTTAGAGTACCTAATTTACTAATAGAATAATTCTTTCGCTATTTCTTATGATCATTGATATAATTTAACTTGATGGGTGGCATAGGCTATACAAGAACGCCATGAGAACTCAGTGTTGAAATCAGAACTGGACAAGCTCCGAGAAGAAAACAAAATCATGAGGGAGACCATAAACAAAGCTTGCTGTCCCAACTGTGGCTCAGGAACCACCACAAGAGACGCTTGTATCACCCCTGAGGAACAAGAACTACGCATTGAAAATGCCAAACTCAAAGCTGAGGTTGATAATATTACATAACAAAATACATATATATATATATTCAAGTCATATATGTTTGGTTATTTCTCATTTATATGTGTGAATAACTAGATCTAGAAAAAAAAAAGGTAAGAACTGCATGTTTTAGTGTGCAACCAGTATATAAAGAAAGAGATAAGTTCAGAAGTGCGGTATGTTATGTATATAGGTATGTATAGTTGGTGAGTAATGCAGACTGATGTTATGTATATAGGTAGAGAGACTGAGGGCGGGTATAGGGAAACAGCAGGCTGCAGGAGCAGCATCTTGTTCAGCTGGTAATGAGCAAGAAAACAGAAGCTCTTTGGATTTTTACACTGGGATTTTTGGGGTGGACAAGTCAAGAATTACGGAGATTGTTAATGAAGCAATGGAAGAGTTGAAGAAAATGGCTAGTGCTGGTCACCCTCTTTGGGTTCGAAGTCTGGAGACTGGTCGTGAAATACTCAACTACGATGTGTACATGAAGGAGTTCTCAGTTGAAAATTCCCCAGTTAATATTAAGAGGCCAGTCATGACCTCCATTGAGGCTTCCAGAGACACTGGACTTGTCTTCGTCGATCTCTCTAAGTTAATACAATGTTTCTTAGACGGGGTAAGTACTTATTAAATACATACAGATATAAATATATATGTAGGTGTATAAAAGGTTTTTCACTATCATACATCTGTTAGAGTTGAAGTAATCTCTTTATTTGTAAGTAGACTTCTCTACTAATAATTATGTATAGTTTGGTAATAATTAATTAGCATGAAACTTTAAGAACACGTTAGATATGTAGTTGTAAAATATGATGGGAAAAATCATGGTAACCATATTTACTTTCATAATTATTTCCTAATAAACTCCAACACTAGGATATTCATGTGCGTGCATGCTTTTCGGAAAAAGATATTCAAAATAATATATTAATGCTTTTGAATGTGGGAAGTAGTGCTTAATTAAGACATCTTGTTCATTAAGCAATATAAAAAGTTATAATATTATTCAAAACTCTGGTTCACTTTTTGTAGAATCAGTGGAAGGAAATGTTTCCATGCTTAGTATCAAAGGCAGCCATTGTCGATACGATATGTCACGGTGAAGGGCCTAACAGAAATGGTGCTGTCCAATTGGTGAGTAACACCCACAAACGCACATATATCCATATATATATATATATATATATATATAACTATTTATATATGTCACAGAGAGAGAGAGAGAGAGAGAGAGGGGCAAGTTTTCTTCTTCTTTGGGAGTTATATTCGTTTTATAATGATTATATTATGGTTTATATTGGCGATTCATCTCTGCAAAGTGTGGATCCTACCGTCAGAATATATTTTTTATTTACTTTGAGAGAGAAAAGGAATTGATTTAGTTAAGAAGCAACCCATTTAATGATTATAATAGATTAGCTTGCTCCAATGAAACTTTACCTTTAAAATTAAAATATGAACCGAGGATCAGGTTTGATTCATTTTGGAGGGCCACAAACAAAGTTTCGTTTTTTAAATGTGTATATACATATATATATATATATATATATATATATCATACCCATATCCTTTTATTAGCTTTGTGGTCCAAGCCTGTAAGAAAAATGTAACTTCTTGTTCTCTTCCTTGCAACTATGTTGTACCCACTAATCTACAGCACCAAACTCAACTGAAGGTCAAATTCATTGTCAATAGACTTTTTACCAGTTTATGCTTATTACTGCCTTGTTCTTTTAACTCTCTTTGATTTTATGCTGTAACCTTGTATATACTTGGTCTCCAGATGTTTGCAGAGCTGCAAATGCTTACACCAATGGTGCCTACTAGAGAAGTTTATTTTGTTAGATATTGCAAGGAACTGAGTTCTGAACAGTGGGCTATAGTTGATGTTTCAATTGATAAAGTTGAAGAAAACATTGATGCATCTCTAGTTAAATGCAGAAAACGTCCCTCCGGTTGCATCATCGAGGATAAATCAAACGGTCATTGCAAGGTGATTATTTATGTTGTAACCTAATTATAGACACTATCAATTACTAAACTCAACTTTTATATTATCTATTTTTCATATGCACCCAAAAATTAGTTAGAGACGAAGTTGTTTATGTGATGTAATTGATGCAGGTAACTTGGGTAGAACACCTAGAATGCCAGAAAAGCAATGTTCACACCATGTACCGCACCATTGTCAACAATGGACTAGCCTTTGGTGCAAGGCACTGGTTGGCGACATTGCAGCTTGAATGTGAGCGGCTTGTGTTCTTCATGGCAACCAATGTTCCGACAAAAGACTCAATTGGTACCGTCAACATTATCTGGCAAATAAACATGTTATGCACAAAGCAAGTAGAGGTTATAAATTAAATAACAACAATTGATAAACTCTGACTAGGTGTTGCAACACTTGCTGGGAGGAAGAGCATTTTGAAGTTGGCACAAAGAATGACATGGAGCTTTTGTCATGCACTTGGAGCATCAAGCTACCACACATGGAACAAAGTGTCCAGCAAAACTGGAGAAGATGTAAGGGTTTCTTCTAGGAAGAACTTAAATGACCCTGGTGAACCAGTTGGAGTAATCGTATGTGCAGTTTCCTCCGTGTGGCTACCTGTGTGTCCTCATCTTCTCTTCGACTTCTTGAGAGATGAAGCTCGTCATAGCGAGGTCTGTTCCCTTTATTTTTAACAATGGTGAATAACTCTTCAGACTGATCATCTAACTACTTTTCGTTCTGTGGCATTAGTGGGATATGATGTCCAATGGAGGTCCGGTACAATCTATTGCAAACTTAGCCAAAGGGCAGGACCGGGGCAATGCAGTAACCATTCAAGTGAGTGATAATCTTAACAAACATTATTTTCCTTTCCCCTGCATACAAGCAGCAAATAATCCTTTTCTTTTTGTTTTCAGAACATAAAATCAAAAGAAAATAGTTTATGGGTGCTGCAAGATAGCAGCATAAATGCATATGAATCAATGGTGGTTTATGCTCCTGTTGACATCACAGGCATGCAGTCAGTAATTACGGGATGTGACTCAAGTAGTATAGCTATCTTACCTTCAGGATTCTCAATTCTTCCTGACGGGCTCGAGTCAAGGCCTTTGGTGATCACTTCCAGGCCAGAGAAGAGCAATGAAGGAGGATCTTTGCTGACAATAGCATTCCAAATCCTAACTAATACTTCTCCCAATGCTAAACTAACCATGGAGTCTGTAGAATCTGTTAACACCCTCATATCATGCACACTGCGAAATATCAGGACAAGCTTGCAAATCGAAGATGGTTGACTAATCTAGCTATGTTGTTTAGGTAGACCTACTAATTACATGTAAAAGTCATAGATTTTCTATTTGTATTTTTTTTTGTCTTTAATTTTTACTAGGAAAGGTAGTTTTATGTGCACTTGCTCTTGTTCATCCTGGGTTAAAACATGGCTCTATTGTCCGCATTCTGAAGAAAGATCAGGCAGCGACAGGCAGCCATGATTTACAATTGTCATACATCTAGGAAACTGGCACATTCCAATGTATAGAATGTTATTCATTAATGTGCTTTTTTAGTTGTATTTATTCACTGTTTTATCATTAAATGATTGTCTTAGAGCCCCATAATAATAATAATAATAACAACAACAACAACAATAATAAAAAAAATGTCATAAACACATTTTCTCGAGTTCTATAATGACTTTAGAAGACATCTTTCACTTCCTAGTGGTATGCAGCCACATTTTTCAGGTTGAGGCATCAAAATTACATCCCCAGATGCTGCTTTACTGTCAAAAAAAAAGTCTTGTTGATGTACCAGTTCAACACTAGATGGAACTATTCCTTGTCTTTGTATTTAAAATGACATGAACTTTGTGCCAATTGATCAACTATTCCACAAATCAAAACACCAGTTATAGCAACAGTCAACTTCTCACCTCTGCTTCCAACATCGTCCCAGGATTCTTAGATTCTTTTCTACAAAAGAAAAATCATTTTGTCTCTCCCTATGTTTGATCAGGCAAACATTTTTTGAGTTCTGTGGAAATGTTTGTTAAATCATGACATTATTAAATATGAGAATTTTGGAAATGTCATTGATACACTAACTTTTTTGTAAATCTCTTGTACATGGGTGGTATTCTTTTTTTTAGATATCTTGTTAACATATACATCACAATTTTTATCTCAAAAAAAAAATGTTTGGTCAGACAAGTCATGATGAAAATGCAGTAGGCAAACATCAGCAAATACCTCCCAATGCAATGTAGTTAGAAGTCTTAGTGCTCACAGAGTGTCCCGGGTATAATTGATCCTCACCTCAAGTTAACCAAACACCTAACTAATGCCATTACTTGGAGAATAATTCCAGTCATTGCACCTGAATTATCGTGCTTTGGTCAAATTCATTATTCATTATAATTTAAGATACAAGTGGAGTTCATTCAATTATGTATTAAGATTGTAAATTATTACTGAATTCTATATATTAAATAATTAAAACCAAGAACAACAAAATCTCATCAGACAAGATTTAGGTTGCATTATATCAATTCCACCTTCAATTTTCTAAGAGTTCAATGTTTATCAAAACAACTCACAAAAATTTTTTATTTATGCTAAAACTTAGCCTTAAAGTAACTATTAATTGCCAAATAAAGTGTTACATTAGTTCAAACACAGCCTGAAGCTAAATTTCCACCAGGAATGAGTTAACAAACCCAAATGAACAAAATTTAGAATAACTCAAATCCAGTACACTAACGAAATCAATTCAATTCCGCTGCCACCCATCACCACAATGTCAATTACAAAGAGAAGGAACAAGGATGATATGCAGTTTCATGGCCATCAATACTAAATTTTCAAAAAACGCCAGGATGAAAATCAACATTATGCACCCACAAATTTAATTTCTACTTAGAACATTTATCAAACAAGTGGCATACATTAAATACACTTCATTGAAAATCACAAAATTACCAGAGGAGACTCACTTCTCTACGCCTGCTGCTCCTGTTGAGATTCCAATAGAATCCCTAGTTCTCCTGGCACAGCCCCCTCCTCATCATCCTTCTTTTTCTTTTCGTTTCTGCTAGGTACAGGCACTGCAATAAAGGCCTTGGTCTTACTAATGGGCCTACTCTTCTCAAGCTGCACAAAGTCACCCACTTTGAACTTGTTATCCGGGTCATGAGCCTGGTACTTCTTCTTCTTCCTGACACGCCTCTTGTACTTAGGGTGTGGAGCTAAACGCACGACTTCAACAGCAACAGTCTTGTCGTTTGTGGCACAGACCACACGACCTTGCATGGACCTCATGGCCTTGACTGGAGGGAGAAAGGAAGGACGGATAGGAGGTTGGAGGGAAGAGAGGAAGTGGGTTTTGGAAGAGGAGAGAGCGGGGTGGTGCCATGGATGAAGGGAGTAGTGAGTTTCAGACATTGAAGAGAGAAGGTGAGAGACATTTTTTTTCTTCTTCCTGGTTTTGGGAGAAGAGAAATGGGGAGTTGTGTTTATCTTTGAGGATTGGACATTTGGGGTCAGATTGCACAAAGGTTGAGGTGAAAAGATAGCATGCGGTAAGGTACATGCTGAATGGTGAACTTCCTTTTTTTAGTTTTTGCCACGTGGTGTCCATCTGGACATCCAAGTGGCACTGACTCACATGAAACCAGATTTTAGATGCTTATTGACTTCATTGTTTCTCACAAGATGTTAGTTTTTTAAAAAGTTTGTAGGATTATATAGAGCATCATCTAATTAGGGAATTAAGTGTTTTTTTATTATAACATAATTTTGTTTTAGAAAAATTGATTGATTAGAAACTTTAAGTAAAGTATTAACCGAATGTGAGTTAGACACCTTAATATTTTAATACACAAAAATTTCTTAATTTTGATATGAAAGAACTAATTAATTTAAATTAGTATAAGAATTAAAAAATTATATATCAATTTAGATCAATTTTTTTACACAACAAGTGCATGCATGTTTGTTTTTGTCCCATGATTAATTTTTTTTTAGGATGAAAATTGGAAACTTCTACGCAAAATATGTGTTTGTTTTGAATTTTTATAATTGCATATTATGTCATGAAATGGTCTTCATAATCAAGTTTTTTTTTTTTTTCATAGTTATTTACAACAATATATATATATATATATATATGTAACACAAATGTTAATTGGCTTCATTAGTTTCTCAAAAAATTTGTGGCATTACGTGAAGCATCATTTAACTAGGGAGTTAGGTGGTCCACTTAATTTAATTAGAAAAATTAAGCATAGTATTGAGTGTTTAATATAAAATTAATAATTTAAATTTGAACTTTTTTACTTTAAAGACTTGAGGAACTAGCCAATTTAAATTAATATAATATTACAAAATTATGTATCAACATAATTTAAACTTAAAGTCATTAGTCAATAATTTTTAGATAATTAATAAATGTTACACAAGAAACCAAACTAACATCATTTTTAGATAATAGGATATGATTATACGCTTTTTTGTGTAAAATCTTTTATGTCTTTTTCTGTTCTAATTATTGAGTTAAAGTGAAATGCATCTTTATTTTTTTCCTCATAACAAGTGCATATTTGTTTGTTCTTTTTCTTAGGATTATATTTTTTGCAAGATGAAATTTGGAGACTTCCAATACTAGTTCGAAAATTTAAATCATTTTCTCTTTCTTTCTCCAACACTTCCTCTCAATTTCTCTTACTATCCTTCTCCCCAAAAATAAAAAATATAAATATAAATCTCTTAAACTACAAAAAGAAAAAATTACAAAAATATTCACCATCTTCGACTTCACAATCATGTTACAACTCTCACACATCAGCTGCAAAACTTATTTCTATAAATCTATTATTATCCTTCATTAATAGCTTGTTTGTGCTCTAAAGCTGAGAAGCCTCCTTATCTATTTTTCCTAGCACCTACACATAGGAAGTTTCCTCATATTTATCACCATGGGTAAATTCAAACCTTTTTGGGAAAATAACTAATGAAATCTAGATTCCACATACCCAAATCTTAATCAACCAATCACGAGAAATATTTTATCTTTACTTGGAATTTTGAAACTCGAGTTTGATCTACTTTGTCTTAATGTTGGAAAAAATGGGATACTCTTGAATCAATAGATACCTTCACATTCGATATAGATTCTCTCCTATGCTTCCACTTGCTTGGTCGTGTATCATATGTACTTTCCCATTATCGAGGTGCATTTTAATGCTTCTTCTGTTACTCTATTTACATAACTACCATAGCCATTTCTACCCACAACCCAGAATCAGACTCTTATCACAAAACAAAGATAATGGTAACTTTTAAGTGGTTATAAATTAAAAAGGGACTTCTGTTCATGACTATAAAATCAAGAGAGGTAGAGCAATAAATCACAAAATTCTCTCAATACTTTTATCAAACAAATTACAGGAAAAAAAATGTTAAAGAACTGATACTTTTTTATTACTCGCAGCTAGCAAATTTATACACAAGAGCTACAACCATAATTTTACAAAATCAACAACTACATAAACATGATAAGCAAATCTCCTAAAATATCTAACATTTGTCCACTAACCACAAGAATTTGACAATTAATTAACTAATTGAAAATAGGAAAAATATGTGATTAAATAAACAAAACATGTGACTTACTAATTTCTGTATTATCTTTAATACTCTCCCATAATGCAGAAATTTTCAAGACCAATCATTTGCAACTATATTACTTGACAAGCTGTTGAAGCTACAGGCATGTATTTAACCTCAGATGATGATAAAGTTGTAGATTTTTGCTTATTTGAGCTCCAAAATATGACACTTGATCCTAAACTAAAAACATAAGTTGGTTTTGCTTTTGTGATCATCAACATAACATGTTCAATCACTATTTGAATATCCACGCAAATTTGAATTACCAGTGTTATAAAACAAACCATATGAAGTTGTTTTTTTTAGTATCTTAACACTCTTTTTGCTACCCCATAGTATAGTTTAATTGGTTTTTGCATAAACCTGGACAAAAAACTATTAGCTCACAAGATGTCTGACCGAGTGTTAGTGAGATAGTGTAGGCTACCTACCAAGCTTCGATAAACATGAGTTTCAACTTGTTCATCTCCATCTTCAATACTGAAATTTTGATTAGTTGTCATTGAAGTTTTCACCGGATTGCAATCTTGCAACGTAAAACTTGTTAAGAAGATCATTTGCATACTTTTGTGTTAGGAAAACATAGAATCAACATATAATTCACAAACATACATAATTTTGAATATCAATATGCATAATAATACATAAAATCACATTAACAAATAATGAACTATATGAAATTATTCACAGTATTAATACCTCTTGTAGAAATCCAAGCTTTTAGAAGAAACGAATCAACAAAAAAAATCATCCTCCTTCATAAGAATTAAAGATTCATAACTTTTTGAAAGAGAAAGAAAAACAGTCTTTTTTTTTTTTTTATAACTTTTTTTTTCTTCTCCAGATTTTAATAAGTGGTAACTTTCCTTCATTTTAATTGTAGTAACTAACCACAAATTTTTAAATTTTAAAGTGGTAACTTCCTCTAACCACTTATTTGAGTTTAAGTGGTAACTCAAAATCGAGTTGGGTCCCATTATACTTGACCCACCTGATTAAATTCAACATCTTCCACTCACACGTGATGGGACCACCTCTCTCTTTAATTCTACAATACTCATACGTAAATAGGTCATGTGACCATACACACTTTGAGAGCACTTTAGCTATATATCTGTTAGAAGTATATAGCTTCTCAAATAGTGAAGCTTAGAGTATCTAATTATGAGTTATACCCTAGATCACATATCACATTTATATCTCTAATGATCTCATATAACTAGTAAATCAAGTACATTCGTAATTTTATTTTTTCATATAAAAATATAATTGGTCGACTAATGAATGTACATTAATAATGTGATATATTCTTTAAATTGTGATCTTCTTTTTATCTTGATTCTCCCACTTTTTATTTAATTCGCTTTTCAAGAAATATTTCATTAGACCGAATCATTCATGATTGTTTGGTTATATCTTAAAATAGTGAGTCTTAACTAAAAGGTTCAAGAAACATATTAGAGTCATGAGGTTATTTGACGTGAGCATGGATCACCTTGGGCCACTTGGAAGAGACATCATCATGCCAAGTGAGCTCATAACAAAGAGCTAGACCCAAAGATTACAACAAGTTCTTTAACTCTTCATCCAACCTTGGATTAATGGGGAAGATGGGCTTGGATCCATTAAAGAAACCCAAGAAAATAAGCTACCAACCAGTTAACCCAATGGCATAATGGTCTCATTAACTTGCTTCAAGCATATGATGGAAAGGGGCAAGAAAATGAACCAATTGGCCAAGAAAAGGAGAAGACCATATCTATCATAATTAGGATTTTATACTTCAATTTTAATTAATTTCTTATGTAATTCCACCTATTTAGGGATTTAGACTTTAATTTTAATTAATTTCCTATGTATTAATTAATTTCTTATGTAATTGCACCTATTTAGGGATTTAGACTTTAATTTTAATTAATTTTCTATGTAATTGTAATTTTAAATTAGGAGATTTTTATTACCTTTTTATTCACATGGATTATCTTATAAATAGGTCATCAAGTCTTCATTGTAAGCATTTAAGATTAAAATCAATAATATTGTGAGTCTTATTCAAGAGAGATTTTCTACATCTAACTTGTTGAGTAAGGAGAAGATCTACTTATTAAGATATGTATTTTTTCATTATATTTTTTTCATTTTCAGTGATCTTAGTTTATATTATTCTTGATAGTGGGTTAAGTAGAGATATCACAAGGTAAAAGCCAAGTGAGTAAAACACGAGAGAATTGGTGAGGAATCTTTATTTGTTATTACTAATCTCTTATGCAGGGAACTCTTTTCTAAAGATGTCAAGCGAACACCAAATTTCGCCGACATAAGACCCTTTCTGGAGGTTATGCAAGCAGAATTAACACGACTCAATAGAAAGATGGATAATATAAATAATGGCCGAAGTGAGGTAAGAAATGGGACCCCAAACACTAGATGGCCTAAGACTCAACACCATGACGATGAGGTCGGGTCCTGTAATGATGAGGAGGAAGATTGGATAAAGAGGATAGAAGAAAGGAAGTATAGTAACATCAGCTTCATCAAGATGAGAATACCACATTTTAAGGATAGAAATGATGTTGATGCATACTTGGAATAGAAGATGAAGGTAGAACTAGACTTTGATTGCCACAACTACCACGAAGAAATGAAGATCAAACTAGTAGTGGTAGAGTTCACTAATTACGCCTTAGTGTAGTGGGATCAACTACTCCTTACTAGACGGTGTAATGGAGAGCGATCAATATCCTCCTGGAGAGAGATGAAAGCAATCATGTGAAGTTCAACCCCCTTACTACTATAAAGAGATACATCAAAAGTTATAGTGTTTAAGGTAGTGGTC